ATCCTCCACGTCTCATAAATTGAGGAAAAATAACAAAATCACTGTATCAAACATGTAAGATAAACGACGTCGTTACTTTCTCTAAATAAAAAAAAAGTTACAGTGAGACAAAATGGAAGAATCTACTGTTCTTTCTACAGTAGTGAAACATTGCATTTTTATATAGTAGTGATACTTCAACAAAGTCAAGATTAAGATACACGTTGATGCTTGGTGGTGATAAAGAAACAAGCATGATGCATTGACCAAGACTTACGAAGTGAGAAACAAAGAATGAGTTGTTTTGAAAAAGTCATTATAGTTTGCCTTTTATTTCAATTTGGCCGCTCAACATTAAGTTTTCTACAGAAAATGTAATGCGAAAGACCCTAATGTTGGCACCACTATAGATTGTTTACGTCTGCCATACCAAGCATTCGATCAGAAAATTAACTAAAATTTAAACAAGCAACCAAATTAAAATACAAAGCAAACTTTAATAACTACTTTGGAATAGAAAAAAATTCCTAGACGAACATGAAATTTAGCGATAAGTTGAGTGACTAACAACTTTTTTAACTCCAGAGATATTAAACATAAGTCCAACACAAAAACATCTTTAATACATTGTCATATTGTTGAGATTATCCTGATAGTCGTGGTACATCCATTGAATTTTAGGGCTAGTTCTTTTAGTCAACTCAATCAAGGTCTTTTGGCTAGGTATAGGCAAGTTGTCGAGTCTTCTGAAAATTAAGTAACTGTGTCCCACAATGAAGTAGACGCCATGCCAAATTTCCACTAAAGTTAGTCAAGACTTGACTTCCACATAACAAGTTTCTTTTAGCACAGAAACATGTTTTCATAACAGACTATATTTCAAATTATATTGTTTAGGACATTGAAATCAAAGTTATAATCCATGAATTAACTATTCATCACAATTAACAAATCACAATTCACTTGCCCTTTTCCTTAACCCATGATTCGGTAGAAATGGACTAATTTTTAGAAAGACCATCCAGTCATTAACAATGCATCGAAAAACATTATGACTTGTTCTAAAGATTAAAAACAAAAAGACTTGACTTCACCATGTAGCTGTTGTTTTATCTCAAGATTTTGTGTAAAATATTGTAGTGTACATTTAGTCAAGTGGTTCAATCCGAAGTCTTTTAATTAGTGTAACAGCTGTCTTGATGACCAAATCTGATTTTAAATTAACCCAATTGGCTCGACTATCACGGTAACAGGATTGACTTAATATTTGGTATATTGGGTATTCCATATATGCATTTCGTTGTCTACTATTCATACTATGTAAGTGTTTTAGGGGCCGATTTTAGGTGTACATAGGCCTCCTTTATGGGAAAGCAGCAATAATTGTGTGCGTTTGCTACAATTTTTTTTTTTTTCCTTTCATTTTGATTATTATTGCTCTCATAAGGGATTAGACACACTAGACAGCACCTAAGGAACGTACGATTTTAACAAGCAATATATACATACTCTCATTAGCACCTCAGCAGTCACGGCTGAGAACAAAGAATAATTTTAAATTTCAGAATGTTGTTACTTCGTATTTTTCCTTACAGCATTAGCCGACCCTCTACTAATTTATTAGCGTGCAATCGGACAGTTTCCACCACGTAGTGAAGTATAAAATTGATCAATTACTTGATTGCATCTTGCATTGACGAATCTAAAGAGTGTCTTGAGATGTCTAATACATACAATTTAAACAAGCGAATCACATAAATAAAAATAGCTAAACCAACCAATTAATCAAGCATATTCTTGATAGGTATTAAAATTTATTTTTACCTCGATGGTTAGCACAACAAAAGCTAGTTATTTGTATAGATTTGAGAACTTGCAAATTGATATTATTTTACAAATACTTAGAAAATAAGACAATGGCGTTAACTAGAGCAGAAACAATGTCATCCGTAGACGGTAGTCCCTGCACCTCTCCAACCAACAACTTGTTCGAATGATAGTCGACAATTTCTTGTCTCCCAAAGGGGCTCCTAATTTCAGTTTATTAAAAAAAATCAAGATATGGATATCAAACAATCAGATTGATCAAGTAAATTTAAATGTGTACCTTCACTTCAGAAATTTTCTCTTGAATCTTATCACATAGATTGTTGTTGTCACGTACATCCAATTCCCAACGTTGTTCCACCAGTTGAAATAGGAATGTCTCCATGAATGCTCGAGGACAAGAGTTGTAACAACTATCCATAATCCAGAAATGAATCCAAATGCCATGCAGATGTAAAAATCACGCGTTATAAACCCATCATGTTCTTCAAAACTATTCAACTCTTCGTGATCAGTAGCAGACCCATTAGAAATATCTCCTGGACACTCTGCCAAAGGCTTCCCACAGAGTTGGGTATTCCCAGCATATGCAGAGGAGTCAAAGCTTTGTAGTTGAGTGCCTAAAGGAATCTTTCCAGTAAAATTATTGTACGATAAGTTCAAAACGCTGAGAAAATTTAGATCTGCAAGGCTATTCGGTATTTTCCCTGAAAGCTGGTTTGTAGACAAGTCTATACTTTCCAACATCTCCATTTGAACAATGTTTGAAATAATATTTCCCGTCAAACGATTTCTAGATAAGTTCAAGAAAATTAAACCTTTTAAAGCAAAAAACTCTTGAGGAATAGTTCCAACTAAATTATTTCCAGAAAGATCAATGCCTTTCAGAAGTCCTAGTGTTCTGTACTCTTTACCTTGTCCTTTCCATTGAACAAAAGCATTGTTGACATACATTTCAACAGGAGCTTCAAAGACGTCATAATCAAGTAAACCATATTTTTCAATCGAACCGTTCTTCTGAACCAATGCCGTAAAATTGTTTAAACATGGTGATATTCTTCCTGAAATATTATTTCTAGAAAGGTCCAAGATATGGCTATTGGTAAGGCGACAAATTGTTGATGGCATGATTCCATCAAATGCATTAAACCGAAGGCTAAGAACTGTCAAATTTGTTAAACGTGTTCCTATCCATGCTGGAATATTACCTGTTAACTTGGGGATAACTTTGAGAATAGTTGGGAAATTCTTCCTATTTTCCACAATAGCCTTTCCTATTAAAAGTACTATGTTGCCCTTAATGAAATTATTTGCAAGATCTA